GGGCTTAAGTGGAGAGCAAATGTGTTGAGAATGATGAGGGCAATGAATGTACAAATGTGCTTTACACAATTGATGTGATTGTGATAAGAGTTACATGAGCCCCTAATAAAACGATTTAATACAAACAAACAAACAAAAAAATTACAGTCTTGGAAATCCTATTGGCCAGTTTGGGTTGCTGAGCGGGAAGGGACCCCAGGGGAGTGGTTTGGGTGGGGAAGGTAAGGGAACCCTGGAGGCCAGAGTTAGGTTGGAGCGGGTTAAGCCCCGTTTTCCCTTTGCACCTACACCAGGCAGGCGCTGAGCCAGATCCGGAGATTCATGTGCATCCAGGGATCATGCATTTTCTCGGCCCCAGAACGTAAATTGCAGGAAGACAGAAGCCGTGCCTGACTCTTTGCACAGGGTCATGCAATGCACCCTTAATCCCACGCGGATCCTAGGAGCCTGACACCAGGTAGGTATTTCGTAAATACTCTTTTATTTGTTGAATAAATAATCAAACGAATGAATGAATGAATGAATGCAGCAAATGCGTCTTGCAATAGGCAGCGGTTACAAAAGTCCTTCAAGAATCGAGGCTTCAAAAAAAAAAAAAGAATCGAGGCTTCTGTCATCATTAAAGTGGCTCACCTCTCAGCTCCTCCGCCGCCCCCCGCCCCGCCTCCAGCGTCCCCCGCGTCACGTTCCCGTCCTGTCCCGAGCTCCGCCCCCTAGGAGGGAGGGCTGCCATTGGTAGTCACGTGCTGGCGACCGGCCAATCAGCGGGGGCGGAGCGCCCGTGGGCTGGAAGGGGGAAGGTGGCCCCGCACACGGTCCACAGCGATCTCCCTGGGTGCCTCATGTCGCGTAGTGGATCCGGCCCTGAGCAGCGCCCGCAGGCGTCAGAGGCGGACGCCATAGAAACCACCTTCCGGGCGAGCGGTACTTGCAGGGCGGTCGGGACGTGCAGGGACGCGGAGACGGAGCCACCCCTTCCTCTGGGAGTTCTTCTCCCACCCGCAGAGTCCGCGCACCCACCCTGGCCAGGCGGGCGGGGCGAAGGGAGACCCCGTGTTGAGGGGGCTGTCAGCGCTGGGAAGGTCCAAGTCTGGACCTGGGGCCCCTTGGCAGGGCGGGACACAGAGGGCCCTGCGACCTGGGGCTGCTAGGGGGTGAGGCTCAGGGAGAGTGGGTGGCAGGGCTCGAGCTAATTGACCTTGACCGATGGCCTCTAGAGCATCAGCATATTCGCTACAACCCGCTGCAAGATGAGTGGGTGCTGGTGTCAGCTCACCGCATGAAGCGGCCCTGGCAGGGTCAAGTGGAGCCCCCAATTCTGGAGACAGTGCCGCGCCATGACTCCCACAACCCTCTGTGCCCTGGAGCCACCAGAGCCAACGGTGAGGTAAGCCTGTAGCCCCCTCAGCCACTGGCTATGGGGGTGGTGGACCTCCTTTTGGTCAGATCCCACGAAGGGCTTTCCTCAGCCTCAAGTTGAGTTTGCAGCCCACCAGACAGGGCAACAAGGACTTCCTTCGAGTACTCCTTGCTACTAGGTGAACCCCCACTACGATGGCACTTTCCTGTTTGACAATGACTTCCCAGCGCTGCAGCCTGATGCCCCCAATCCAGGTAACCTCACTCCTACTGCTGGTAGGGCATGAGGGAGCCCTGAGGCCCCTTTGGGGGCTTGCAGAGAATGACACCCCCTTCTCTCAGGACTCAGTGATCACCCTCTCTTCCAAGCAGAGGCCGCCCAAGGAGTTTGGTAACTATACCCCTCTCATAACTTCCACCCCAGGGCCTGAACTGAGGGCTGGGGGGCGAGTCCTGCCCCCAGCACACCAAGCCCCATTCCTCCTGTCTTCTCTCTCTCCACCCTACCTAGTAAGGTCATGTGCTTCCACCCCTGGTCGGATGTCACTCTGCCACTCATGTCAGTTCCTGAGATCCGCACTGTCGTCGATGCCTGGGCCTCTGTCACTGAGGAGTTGGGTGCCCAGTACCCTTGGGTGCAGGTGTGGCTAGGCAGGGAGCCGTGTGGCGGGGAAGGGTGACTGGGTGTCTTTTGGCTGCTACAACTCTCTATCTGTACCTGCTAGATCTTTGAGAACAAAGGTGCCATGATGGGCTGCTCCAATCCCCACCCCCATTGCCAGGTGTGTCTGGGTCTCTGGGAGTTGCAGAACTGCCCCCTCTCATCAGCAGGGAGGGGAGCCGGTTTAAAAAAGGGGGACACAGGAAGCGTGCCCCTGATATGGAGGCTTTGGGCCAAAGGCTTGCCCACTCTTCTCTGCTTCTGCCCGCTTACAGGTGTGGGCCAGCAGTTTCCTGCCAGATATTGCCCAGCGAGAGGAACGATCCCAGCAGGCCTATCAGAGTCAGCATGGGGAGCCTCTGCTGATGGAGTATGGCCGCCAGGAACTACTCAGGAAGGTAGGGGAGAGCCAGGTCAAGGAGCACTTAGCCTTCTAGCCCCCAAGTGAGGTGTATAAAGGAGACGCATCGAAGAGAACCAGCAAAGGGGACGTGCCAGGAGACCATGGCAGTCACCCAAAGGGGAGACAATAGTGGCTTAGACTAGGGTAAGGATGGAAGTAAGTGGTTAGAAGCTATGAGCTCTGAGCAACTATTTTTCTTCTGCTTCCCCACCTGCCTATTTGTGACAATTCCCCTGCCTCCCCCACCCAATGTTGGTGTCCTCATAGCTCCACTCTGTCGACGCAGGAACGTCTGGTTCTGACCAGTGAGCACTGGCTGGTGCTGGTTCCCTTCTGGGCAGTGTGGCCCTTCCAGACACTGCTGCTACCTCGTCGGCATGTGCGTCGGCTGCCTGAGCTGACCCCTGCAGAGCGTGATGGTGAGCCTCAGCTGAGACCCCCGGGGCCAGGCTCTGGGGATGGGGATAGCTCAGGCAGGGTCAGCATCTGGGCCCCCAACTGAAAGTCAAGTTCTGGTTCCAGATCTAGCCTCCATCATGAAGAAGCTCTTGACCAAGTACGACAACCTGTTTGAAACGTCCTTTCCCTATTCCATGGGCTGGCACGGTGAGCCTTTCTGAGTACCTTTATCTAGCCTCAACATCATTTCTTGACTCCGCTGTGCTATAATTCCCAGCAGGCCTTGAAACACTTGCTGGAGGAAGTAGGAACAGGCTACTGGGACTGAGGGTGGAGTCTTGCTTATCTCCTTGCTGGCTTTCCACTGTCTGGGGCTCTCTTGTGCTGGGGGGAGGCGGACTGGGAGTAGGGATTTGGCTGAAGGCCTGAGAAAGGGCTGTCCCCAGCCATCTGTACCTTCTTTCTGTCAGGGGCACCCACGGGATCAGAGGCGAAGGCCGACTGGGATCACTGGCAACTGCACGCCCATTACTACCCTCCACTCCTGCGCTCTGCCACTGTCCGGAAATTCATGGTCGGCTACGAAATGCTGGCTCAAGCTCAAAGGGACCTAACCCCTGAGCAGGTCAGGACTCAGGACATCCTGGGTCCTTCCCTTTCTCTCCCATTTCTTTAAGGGATCCCTGAGAACCCCCACAACATCCTGGCTATCCCTAGAGACCCGGGAGCTGACTGCTTAACCGCTTTACCCTCAGTGACACCAACATTTCTTATTCCGAGTCTCCCAATCCCACAGGCCCTCCCCCAGTGTCTCTTGGGCACTACACTCGTCCTTCCTCACTACCACCGGTTTCCCTTCCAGGCTGCGGAGAGACTGAGAGCACTTCCTGAAGTCCATTACCGCTTAGGACAGAAGGACCGGGAAACAGCAGCTAGTTCCTGACCCCAGAGCCCTGACTCTTACCTAAGGGCATTAGAACCTGGGGATTGGGCAGCTGGAGGGTCAATAAAATGCTTCTCAACCTTTCATCATATATTCTAACAGCAGAGCAGTGTGAACGGTAACTCCTGGGGCATGAAGTTAAAGGTGGAAGGCTCAGCTCTGACCACAGCTTTTCTTTGCTACTGTCGTGATTAATGTTGTCAAGCTGGCCAGGCTATGCCACTAGCCTGGATGTTGTTTTATAACTTTCCACTCTGTGATTTGATGAGCTCATCGAATCAGCTGCAAGGTGCGGGTGGGGGTGGTTGGGGGTGGGGTGTTTGTCTCCCTGAGGAGGTGGCCTGCCTTCAGTAAGTAATAGATGTCTTGGCAGAGCTTGCCCTCGATCCTGCACTCCTCTGGTTGTCTGTCCCCCCCCTCCCCCCATTCTCGGGACACCAGCCTACAGAAGTCTTTAGGCTTCTGCCTGATCTGCAGATTTTAGATTCACCGGCCCTTGTAACCCCGTGAGCTAAGCAGCAGACTGCAGCCTGCCACCTGACCTATGGATTTGGGACTTGGCCGTCCCCACAACTGCATGAGCCATTTCCTTGATGTAAATTTCATCCTGTGTATTTTCACATACTTTTCACTGTCTTTACTCTTCTAGCACCAAACGGAGGCCGTTTTGGTATAAAAAATGGGTTGAAAGCATAGCTCCCCAAACTTATTCGGCCTACCGCACCCTTTTCAGAAACAAACACAAAGAAAAAATTTTAAAAAGTTAATAAATACTCAGTGCTCATCAAATGGTTAAAAAACATTTGATCCAGGTTTAAGTGTAGGTATCTGGTGTTGCAGCCCCCATGAATTGATCTAGGGCCCCCACCCCCAGCGGTAGTATCACCCACTTTGGGAAAGACTGGTCTAGAGGGACAAAGTCTCAAGGATCAGTTTTCTGAATTGGCTCTCAAGTCTGGTTAGAATTAAAAGCACTGATGGCTATTTCCACTCTAAAGGAAAACCAGCACACTCACTGCCATCGAGTCCATGCTGATTGTAACTGTTTATGGGAGCAGACAGCCAGACACTTTGAAGGACGGCACTGTTATCTCTTGCAGCGTGTGGCCAGAGAGGTAGGCCAAATATCCTGCCATTCCTCTTCAAGTATTCGTGAGAGAGAAAACTGGGGGATTGGAGATCTTTCAACATTTTTTCGGTCAAACAGCTAAGTATAACTTAACTGACTGGTTGCTCCTACTTCTGCTCGACCAAGTGGAGAAAGAAAAAGATGACCCCTGGGCTTCAGAATCCCAGCCCGAGCAGGGCATAAGGGACCTGACAGCTGCTGTGTGCCCTTTGAAAGAAAGCTTCATTGTCTGTAGTAGTGTCGAGAGCCTCAGAACGTGGCTCAGAAGAGACTAAGCTTTAATGCTGTCGCACAGAGGGTCAGCTATCACTAACGTCACTCAGAGCCAGGGGTTCTTATACCCACACAGGAGGTGTTCAATGCTTTCTACAGAGATCTGTGCCGGAACTTTTTCATGCAGCACAGGATCTGGGCTAATTCAGTTTTGCATCTGGAACACTGGGAGGTTCTTTAATAGGCTAATTTCGACAGACATTTATATTCCCCACTTTAAAAAAATCATTTATCGAGGCTCGTACAACTCATCACAATCCATTCATCCATCCTTTGTGTCAATCACATTTGTACATTTGTTGCCATCATTCTCCAAACGTTTGCTTTCTACTTGAGCCCTTGATATCAGCTCCTCATTCCCCCACCCCTTCCCCACTCTTTATTGACCCCTAAAATCATATAGAGAAAATTAAAGTTGGTCTTCTGGTTCTAAGGGTTCATGAGACTGCTGAACAACAAACAACTTTGCAGAATCAATTTGATTTTGCACAAACGTAGTTACACAATTGAGCAGGCATGGTCTAAACATGAGCAAATAGCAGGATTACAAGGATGGGCCCTGCTATCTCGGTGACTAATAGGTGAGCCGTGGGTTCCAATCAGCAAGGACCGGGACCAGCTTTACTGCGCTTCTCTGTCTTTTTGTTGCTGGGCTAGGTTTTCTTTTATCTTTTGTGAAGCATTAGTAACTATTCCAGACTGGTTGGCGTAAAAGCAACAGCTCTCTCCTAGAGTGGCACGCAGCCCTCCTTGGGATTTCAACAAAATATCTAATCCTCTATGGTTCTGAATGACTACTTCAGCGAGGGAAATCAATCTGGGTATTGAGTAGTCCAAAGGAGATTTGCAAGCTATTGATGTTTTTGTATCTATGGTATGGGAGAAAGCTGTTAAGTCCTGTACCAAGGGCTGCGGTGTCTGCAACACTCAATCCTAACAGCAGGGGCACACCTGCAGGGCTGCTTACTTTGCCTGTACTGTAGAGGGGCCTGTTCCATTTAACCCTTCTCCATAAGCATAGATTTGAGGTAGGAATTGAACTATATGGAGCAGGTGCCATTAACATCTTTCCCTTCAGTGAACTGTGTGAGCCAAGTCCAGTTGGGGGCAAAATAGGATTGGTTGGTTTCAACTGGCATGTTTGTTCATGCAAGGGTCTGGGGTGGCGGATAGGGTTTATCCACCTCTATTTTTATCAGGCAGGTGGCAGGGCCAGCTAATTTCCACTTAGCACAGGCATTTGATGGAGACAACTTCTTTATCACTAATCTTCCTGCCTTTCACTCCCCACTGTAGGAGGATGGACCCAAATAATTGGGGACACTGAGTACAGTTAAGTGTTCTGGCTACTTCTGGCTGACACATGGGCATGAAGAGGGGTTTGGGGTCCATATCCTTCCTGCCCCTTTGAGAAGGTTGTCATCCACTCAGGAGCCCTATGGATGGGGTTGAGATGATCCAGATATTGGGGATCCCGGGGATGCCCATCTTGGCTCAGTATTTTGAGAACCAGCTCCCAAATCGATCAGGGACAGGAGGAGCCTAGTCGCAATTACAAAAGGATAGCAGGGATGAAAGAAAGAGGAGAAACAAAGTTGGGGCGTAGGGGGCATGAGGAGAAGGGAGTCCAAGGTCCAGATCTTTATTCAAGGCAAGTTTATATCCAGCACTGGTCACATACCCTGCATTCTGTGACAAGTTCTCACACTAAAGGTCTGTTGACATTTCTCTGAAGGCAAAGAACCAAGAATATTTTCACCAATTTGTCTATGGCCTGGAGATAGGGAGTATAACAACATCTTCAGAGAGCCGCGTGTCAGCAGTTTCCCAGGGAACGGGAAAGTGTCTATGATATCTTAGTTGAAGACCAGACCATGCAGTGTCTCAGCCCCTTGGGCTGAGCTGGCAGCTCAACGCTAGGGGCCTTACCTAAACTGTGGAATGTGGTGGTCCTGTATACTTGAAGTCTGTCCTGTAAATACGTGCTCTGTTACTCAGGAGCCCGGGAATTCCTTTCCCAGACTCATCTTGAGATAATCCGCTCCCACACAACATCATTTGTAATTTGATGACTTCGGGAAGAGACAAAGCCGGTCAGCAGTGTAGGTAAGGCTAGGGCAAGAGCCAGGGATGGCGATGCCCATCGAAGGGTGGGTTAGCCTCACACTGGATGATTCCAAAGGTTATCTCAGGAGGTATTCTTAACACTGATTTGACAGGCATATTCTGCAAGCTTAAGACACAGGAACTGGGCAAGGCATTTATGAACTTAAAGACTGCCGTGGGTTTGAGGGAAGGTTTTCTGCAGAGCACTTACCTGCCTCGGTGCCAACCAAACACCATCTGAAGGCCGTCTAATGTTACACAGGTGTACTGATCGTTCTCCATTTGATCTGCGTCTGAGGGGGCTGGTTCCAATGGATTCCACAGCTTTACCTGGGAATGGTGGATCCACACACTCTGTCCTGGAACTTTAATGGCAGTAGAGGTAGATAGAATTACTGGGAAAGAACCCTTCCAGGTTCCAATGGATTCCACAGCTTTACCTGGGAATGGTGGATCCACACACTCTGTCCTGGAACTTTAATGGCAGTAGAGGTAGATAGAATTACTGGGAAAGAACCCTTCCAGATTGGTTGGAGCTGGGATTTTTGGGACCATCTTTCCCAGTTTTTATAAGAAATAGGTCTCTGGGATTAAAAAAAAAAGAAAAAAAAGTGAAAAAAAAAGAAATACGTCTCCGGGAAGGCGCAAGGGGGCAGTTTTTCTTCCCCTTGTGCCTGGGCAATCCCATATTGATGGAATGCCTCTTGGCATTGGGCTGCCCTTATGCCATATTGCTGTATTAAGGACACGTCGGCATTCATAGCCAGCTCTGTTATGAGGAAAGACTGCCCATATAGAACTTCATAGGGGCTTGAACATGTAGGGTAATTCTGAGAGGTAGCAGAGCTACTGGCATTGCATCTTTCCAGTTCACCCAAGTCTCTTGTGTCAATTTCCTGAGGGTTGGTTTTCAGTGTTGATTAATTCTCTCTACTTGCCCTGAGGATTGTAGTCTCCAAGCACAGTGGAGATGATAAGTTATTTTTAAGTGCCAAGCTACTGCTTGGCATCTAAGCAGGTTAGGAGAGAGTAGACAGCATCAGCCACGGAAAAATGTACAAGCCTACCTGCCACATCCATGCACAACCAGGGTTTCAGACCTGTAACAGCAATCCTTGGCTGCTGGGCCATCTCACTGGGCTGCTTCAGTCTTGGTTAGTAGCTGAAGACTCTCCAGCAGACTACTCTCTTCTTGGGTTTTCCCCATAGGACTGGCCACCAGTAGCCAGTTTGTTTACAATGATAGCATGGCCCTTGTAGTGGCCTATTAATATCTATTAGGGCATTCCTTTGCCCAGTGACTTGGACGCCAACACACATGGCATTTTGTATCCTGTGCCACGGTCTTTGGAACCTGGGTGGCAGTAGATGGGCACTGATTAGCTATGGTGGCCAGTACCTATGCATGCCTGGCAGCTTTCCTTTTGTCCACCTGAGCCTGAGCCTCTTGCTCCTGCCTCTATTCTACAAGGTAGCACTGGCAATAGTAACCATCTGACCTAGAGGAACGCCTTGAGGCTCTTGCACTAACTTCTAGAGCTTCTTTTGAATGTCTGATGTAGTACTTGTGAGAAAT